TGGTTGGAGCACCATCTGTTGCACAAGCACTTACATTTGTGAGGGGAATTTCTTTTACCTCAAAATAATCTTTGACCAATTTAAAAATCGACGATCCTTTTGTATCTGTGTTCAAAGTTCTTGTAAACAACATTTCCTCGTTAATCTCCTTACTCTCATTTATGAATCTCACGTAAGCTAAAACAGCTTTGTTATCTATCACAGTTGATTCATCAATCTGCAACGCAAATTTACCTTCTTTCAGAAATTTGATGAGTTTTGATTCAACGTCGGCGGCAATCTCATCAATACGCCTGGAAACAGTATTATTGCTTAGAAAGGAACAGAGTGACTTATCAGATTTCCGCATGCGATACCAAAACGTATGACGAAAACGATCCTGCACTTGAATTTTTTTCTAATTTTTAACTATCATAATTCTTTGTCTACACCAGAATCATAGGTTTCATATATATTTTCAATTTCAATCTCTAATAGCTTTTATTATTAATATTATTAGCAATTTTTATCTTTTGAGTACTCGTCGCCCCCTGATCGCCCCCCTAAGGATTATCGCCCCCTTGAGAAGCTCTATCACCCCCTTTGGGGCGATCGCCCCCAGGTTGGGAACCACTGATATAGGGCATACCTGGCAAATATATACAGGGTAGTGGCACTTAACTAGACCTATTTTGGACATTTACCAAAGCGACAATGTGATTGTCAACATTCACCGGTGAAAGTCAACAACATTTCGGTCATTCACAGTAACCTATACACAAAACATTCAGCTTTATTTATCTTAATAGAACTTAACATATAAAAACAAGGAAGATAAATTAATAAATCCTAATTTTACTTTAAAAAATGGACTGCTTAAAGAATTAAAATCCTTAAAGAATAAAAAAAAATTTAAAACTAAAATGAAATTTTTTTTTAAAAGCTCAATTCCTACTTAGGTTAACAAAGAAAAATTTAATTTTAGTTACTTTTTATTAAATAATTAGAATTTTTTCTCCCATATAAAACTATAATTAATTAAATTTAATGAATGAATTAATATTTGAAAAAAAAACTGTATTTACATCAAGTGTCATCCACTACAAGTTTAAAAAAAGTATTTGAACTTGAGTGGATGAGTAAAGAGTATTTTATGAACGATTGATTATTTGATTGATTATTGATTGATTATTATAGGGAGAGTAGTGAACTAATTGTAGGAATCGAAAAACTATTGCAGTGAATTTCAATAATTCAATAGTGAAAGAAAACTATAAACGCATAAATCTAACAAGAGTTTTTATTGAAGCAAGGCAACTTTTTTAGGTGAGTGTTGTCACGCACTCAGTGACATCCTAATGGGTTGTTGAAACGTGGCATTTGTTTACGTTAGCAACCGTTCTTTCGTTTTTATTTCGAGTTAGCCAAGCCTATCTAATGCCAATTCTCTTAAGTAACTAACACAGCCTATGTTCTTTCACAAAGATTTCAATTCTACAGCTATATATTTACACAAAGAGTCAACACAAAGACAGGCAAGAAGACAAGTAAAACATAAACGAACTTATTATGCATAGAAGTTGCCAGGAACACAAAACAAAAATATATCACGGTTACTATAAAATACATAGCAATCGTTAAAATTTACATTCAATGGGATACCTGCAAGTGACTCGGTGTGGGTATCTTGATCCTGGTGGGTTGTTGAAACGCGGCATTTGTTTATGTTAGCAACAGTTCCTTCCATTCTATTTCGAGTAAGATAAGCTCATCAAGTATCAAGTCTCTTAAGTGACACATTCTAAATTCTTTCTCAAAGATTTTAATTATTTCACCATATATTTACACAGAGACAGGCACGAAGCCATGTAGAACATAAACAAACTTGTTATGCATCTTTTGTGCCAGGTACACAAAACAAAAATATATCACGGTTACTATAAAATACGTAAACAAATAATAAATCTAAGTTAAGTAAATGAAGTAGATTAGAAAGAATTATATTTCAACAAGTTTGATGTTCTATATGGGTCTGTATTTAATTAATTAAACGTTAATTAACATTTTTAGTTATGTAGAGAAACTGAGCTCAACTTTAATACGCGATTTTGCTGATTAAGATCAGCTAGTGCTGACGTCATAGGTCAGATGCGTGAGTATGGGTGGTCTTCTTCTTGGAGTGCAGGTACCCAATTGTAAATTGCGTTGACATAATACGGAAAGCTTCAGTTAAACTTTAAAATTCCACTCTTCGTAAAAAAAAGATTTAAATTTACGAAAAATTGTAAAAGGTCCAGTTTTAGGCCACGCATAAGCGGTTTATAAAGACAGATAATATAAATGGGATCCCATACGGTATAGTTTGAAATGGTCAAATCCGCTTTCTTAAACTCATAAAGAAACTAAGTTATACTTTGTTAAATATTTTTTAAATTCCTTCTATTAGTCCACCCTCTCCCTATATTCTTGTTCAAATTTTCAATCGTTAATTAAATACTTTTTACTCACCCATTCAAGTTCAAATATATTTTTTTAAACTTGTAGTGGATGACACTTGCTGTTAATACAGGTTTTTTTCAAATATTAATTCCTTAATTAAATTTAATAAATTAATTTTAGTTTTATATGGAAGAAAATTTTTTTTATTAT